CAAACCATATTATCACATATCATATTATCCTTGACCACTTCTCTAAGGTCCTCACACACATGTGAGATGCAAGCCGCCGACCCCATTTGTGTTCAACCCTGGTAATGTGTGGGAGGCCTAGATTGTGCGTGGTACGCGCAGAAGAGATAACCAGCTATCAGCCACACCACATAACTGACCGGCTCAAGCAATGCACTTGTACCTAGGTATGGTAAAAGAGAGTGCGGTAGACGTTTCAGCACACCTTCCTCACTCTAACCAAACCCGTGAGCTAAAAGCCATGCGGTAGATGTTGATAATCCAGATCAAAACCAACAGGATAACGAGCCCGTGACGCAGTGCTCAGAGTGATACACTCCCAACTAGCAAGTCGCTGGTTCGAGCCTCAGGTGTGACAACACCCGAGGTTGGGTATAACTCACTGGTGGCGGCTAATAGGCCAGAAATTGCCATTCCAGTCTCCCTTGTCTGTGCCGGTAATGCCTTTCGGTGAAATTGCTATCAACCTACACTAATTCAAGCGCATGTCACTGTCCCTGCGCCCACCACTTTGTGGGATACACGGTAGACCTAGACAGAGCTGTCAGTTGTGTAAAGACTATCAGAGAAAACTGGAAGCCCTCGACTACCGTTAACTGAGAATAATTATTCGAATAGGGTACACAGGCTTTCTAGAGGAGGAAAGAGTATGGGCTGAGAAAACACGAAGAAGACACCCCACACCCCGTTAATAGTTTGGGCGCGTTCTTCGTTGCCTGGCACTTAGTACAACACTGACGAAGACATCAAGTTAAAACTCGACTTTACGTATTCCAAAGAGATATCACAGCGGTTTTTGATGTCTCAGTAATCATTTTTCATTGCTGGCGTAGATACAAGGTCTACTTCGACAAATTCTACTCCGTGGATTATAAAGGGTAAAGGTAGTAGGTGTGATAGCATTAGGCCAACTGTGCCACATGCGATCGCGGCTGCACGAAATGCGTGGCGCATTTTCCATTTACAAAGCGTGCTTTTTACAAATTCTCGGCTCTTCACTAGACGCTTAAATTAAAAGTGGAATCAAAACCCTGATCGAAAGGAAACTAGTTCTAGATTTAAAAAAGTGGGGGATAAGGTATGATTAAGAGTTAAGTCTTTTGTAGAAAAGAGAAGCACGACAGCAATCTAGCGGTTAGAAAATGCAAGGGTTACGAAAGTAGTCACCTCATCCAAAACCAGGTACAGTCCGTCACTTCCCAGAGGATAAATATAGTGTCGGAGGGGTACTGGTCTGGCCTCGGAGCGAACGACATGACAGGGTTGATGATGGAGGTAGGCGATCCACTCGGCAAACTGCCGAGCGTTGGGAGTGGTAGCACTGAGGAACACATAGCGTACGCTGTCCGGCAAGAGGACCAGAGTCTCCTCCCAAACGACGCCACGCTCCGGGTCCCGCATGTAATGGATCTCATCGAAGACAACCCACCCGACCTCACGCATGATAGAGGCACCACTACAGTGGACAAAGAAAGTGTGTGGATCAGCTATGATAGGGTTTTAAAGTTGATTTAAAACCACGACCAGCCTTCTCCCTTACTCGTGCAAAAACCTGGAACGCTAACCTTCACATTTAGTCATGAAAACCTATATTTTCGTTAAGAAATGCCACTGTAATGTCACGACTGGCGCATTGTCTTTAACATGATGGTAAATTCTGCTCTCTCGTAAGTGGAGGGGGCGACTGTTCGAACCACATGACAGGCATCAGTGAAGGATTTATAAGTAATTATCAAGTAGTTGATAAGCCAGTTGTATGGCTATAAAGTGGTGAAAACCGGGCCTTTTCATTACATGATTTCACCTACAAAGAGGAGTATTTCGAAACCTCACACGCTATAATCGGTAGGAGGGTCATATTTTGTCTATATTTTCTTCCCATGAGCGGTAGTCTTTTCTGCTAAAAATCAACAAATCCATTCAAACTTCTGTGGTTTCCGTAAAGTGCACGAGTAGTTTTTTAACTGTCTGCTCTTTTTGCTTTTTTTTGCTCAATAGCTCGTGTGGGTTGGAGTCGTCAATAAACTGAGGAATTAGTCCCGAAGTAACAATTTCACAGGTTTGCTTCTTCGCTCAAAGATTCGGTGCTGCTATACCGTTTCGTTTATCTGAACAGATTTATCTTGCTGTGTTCTATTTAATGTTACATTTTAAACGTTTAATATTACAACGTGCATTTAAAAAATATGGAGATCAAAGATACCCACCTACATTCTCCCTTCAATAAAGTGAAATGAATTATTAGGAGAATACGATGGTAGCGTTGAGAGTTTTACATTTTATATGTGTGTAATTCGATTACTTAAAACTTGATTTGAATTTTATTACTGGGGAGAGGAGGCGGGGTTAAATAAAACCAATGTCACAAGGAAAGTCATGTGGTTTGAATGCGAATTGTAGAATTTCGATAGAATTTGTAATGTTAACAAAGAACCTACAATTACTGCGAGTTTATTGGATATAATATTATGATATATTCACCGCACCCACTAAGCGGAGACCTAGGTTCGATTACTAACAACTCAGAAAAATTTCTCGGATTGACTCAGCTCAGTTTGAATGAGGACTGTGGGGTGCAAACAAGTGCAAACACGACAGGAGCAAAATGATATATTAATGAGAAGGATAACTGTTTTATTACTTACCGGTAAAGCATGGACTGGAGGATCTCGGTGGTCATTATCAGAACGCTGGCGTTCATATTTATTGTTGCGTCGCCAGTAAGTAAGCCAACTTCCGGAAACTCCTCCGAAAATTCGCGATACTTTTGGTTGCTGAGAGCCTTGATGGGTGTTGTGTAAATTACGCGCTGCTTTCCTCGAAGAGCCATGGCAATGGCGTACCTTAAAACGCCAAAACGAATGCGCATATTTAGTTGGGGAAAAACAATGCATGAGAAACAAAGTTGGACATCGAGGCCGGGAGGACTTAATAAAATTACCAATAACACCAAAAGCGTATCGAATAAGTACATGCAAAGCTGTTCGTATGGAAAATATTTGATAAACAGCATCGATTTTATTCATCCTTGCGGCGCAAACAGAGTTCACAATAAGGTTTAAATACTAATTAGCGAAAACAGGCCAATAATAAGCAGAAGACATACATGACAAGAGCATATTAGCGAAAGTTTCATTCCTATGGTTTCAAACAAAATTGTCAACTGTTCTACGAGGATCATGTATCGTGATGACAGGAAAAATTATAGAGGAGTTTTTATCAAGCATAAAAGAACTTACTCTGCCACAACCGTCTTTCCTGCTGATGTATGGGCGGAGACCATGACGGACTGATTATTGTCGATGCATGTTATAGCTTGCTGTTGGAAGGCGTCCAGCGTGAAAGAAAAAGAGCGGACCTTCGGCCCGTCTGATTCAGTCAGTTTCACATAAGGCACGTCTGGTGGGTAGGCAACCTAACAAATAATGTGAGTTGAAAACTGGGGGCTTACTTCGTGCGAACACGAAGGAGGTGAGGGGATTCTGTATATTTTAATACGTGGTGATTTGGAAAGTACGGTCTTCATGTCGAACGAGAGCCTCGATCGCTTCACTGCACCGGAGCCTCCGTCATCATTTGAATCCTTAATATGATCTTTTAAGTCTGCTTCAGCTCTAAAGGTAAGTGTTCACGGAATGCAAGCGTCTTACTTGCGCTTCTTTTCCTCAAATTCAGTGTCATCATCTTTGGCATCCTTTGGCTTACTGGGTTCAATTGCTATCTCGCTTTTTCCTTCTGTATCAAATACAGACTTCAAGTCGTCGATGTCCAGTCCAAATACGTTAGACATCGTAGCTGAGCGTAAGCACCATAAACTAACAGATAATGCGAGCGCCAATCTTCCAATCCGCGCCAACACATGCTGCAAATTAAAACAGACGCTCTATCCTAGGAAGAAATATTTATCATACCCAAGTTTGGTGTTCTTTCCAATCAACAGGGACGTTAAGGGTTCAGTATTAAGCATAATTATCATAATCGTGACATTAGTATATTTGAACTGTTAACAGAAGATTCCGGACAAGCGTTGTTATTACGGATGCTTTTAAGTAGACCATTGTGTTTGCAGCTGAGGAGTGAGATCGGTACCGAGGATTAAATGGTTTATTCTGTTTGAACATATTTACATTGAAACCTCAGGTAGGTGCATATAAAGAAGAGGTATAAGTGCATAATTGATAAAAGAATCGATTCGGAAACAGATTTTGCGCTCACTACATCATTCTAGACACTTGAACATGTGCGCTTGTTGATTTTCGCTAGATGCATCAGATATGCATCTATATGAAGTCTTCGAGGCTGGCTCGTTCCTTTAAGCACCCTTTAAAATATCGACCACATTCTTGTCATCGTCATATATCACTTACTCAGCGCTAAATCACCTTGGCCACTTTCCCACGCGACTGGAGGTAAGTTGTCAGCCTGAAAGAGATCTATATGGTTAACCATACAGTTCAAGAATGTCATTTTCATTAGATTAGAAAGCGACTTCGTATTATATTATCGGTGAGATGGCCATCCTGCAC